ATATATTTTAACCAGATATTGTGTGTAATACTTACAAATGACTAAATGTTTATTTTTAGGGTACTTCGAACTTAATTTATTTTGTCGCCTAAGGTAGTTGTTAACTGGGCCAAGTTTGTTCATTAATGTTCTATTGGTACACAGCCGAAAGCCATCCGCTTTGCACAACTCTAGGACTAATTTCTATTGCAAATATAATACCGGCCAAAATCAACATTATTATTAATAACGCATGACTGCCTTGTCATAATAGACTGAAGCATATTGTCTCGGTATCGCAGTGCGACGAAGTTGCACCGGTAATCAAATCATATCCTTCATTTGCCAAGAATAATTCAACACTGTTGACTAATATGACACGCCTTTGTTGATTAACGCACTAATGCATTTAACTAGCATTAGGATAAGACTGGTATAGAGACAATGCGAATTAATCGAAGCGTTAATGCATTCTGACTTACATGATACTGATTTAATTAGAAGTGCTCTCGGCGTAATGTGATATGTTGTATATTTTTGTTAGAAGATAATACATTACATTTATAATAAAAAGTAAAAGACTTTATATATTTTTTCATATTTTTAATTATTAAGAGAGTTTGTAGTTGTTTAAGTGATCACGAAGTACCAGTTGAACCACGCGTTTATAACAACCTGATATCAAATAGTAGTGATATACAATTTTACTGCAAATATGGGTGAAAATAGGTTTCCGGTATTGTTTCCGGTATTGTTACATTAAGATAAGCATATATCGCTATTAGAAAAATGCTAATATAAAATATATATAAAACTAGCAAACCGGGCGAACTCCGTTTCACTACCAGATGGTTTTACTTTATGTAACATTTTGTTTGTTGATTAAAACATGAAGAAAAAATTGCCTGCTATTGAAATTGAATAAAAATTTGCACAATACACGTGATTGATTTGATGGTTTTCAATTGAAATGTTAGGAAACGAATAACTTATTTTTTTACATTTTTTGCACAATTTCACAGTGAACACAATGCCGGTTTGTCACATGAAATTAACTAAGCAGAGAACAATGAGTAGCTCTCAAACAAATGAGTAGCAGTCAAACAAAAAATAGTAGTTTGTAGTACATGCTAAGTATTAGAGATGACGCTGTATGTGAAGAAAGGAAAAGTGTTTTCCGCTTTTCTGTTGAAATCTTTCTTAAATTTTTCTTACTATAAACCTCACGGAGTCCGAGACCTTTCCAACGAATGCAAAATCGTCGAAATCGGTTTGTGTGTTCTGGAGTTATATCGTCAGAAAGGAAAACCCGACTTATTTTTATATAATGCAATATATGAAACCATCGGGCTGCCTTCATATGCAGTTGCCTCAACCCATAGGACTCTTAAATCATGATTCCTATTGAAAAGTAATCATCTATGCCAAAAAACATTTTTACAGTACTACGAGTACATCTATATAACGCAATTGATTTTAAGGTTTTATTGATGACCTCAAGCAAAAATTAATGTATTAAACACTACAGAAAGTTCAATAGAGTATTAGATAGACCATGATTCTTAATCTGGCGCACTAGAGTGGACTTTCATTGTTTTCTTGGTTTATGAATTGAAATTCGGAACAAGTAGGAGACAATGTTGTATCGAAAAAGTAGTACTAAACTAAAAAGTGAACAATTATTTTTACATTTCAACTGATTATTTGATTTTATGAACTGTACTTTCTTGACTTTAGTAAATGCTGCTTTTTCATCTTTAGATCAGAATTTATAGATTATTATACGATTTTTTCTTATTGTAAGCTTTGATTGCTTCATCTTGAACAGCAATCAAAACTTATAATCTGTTGTGCTATATTGACTGACTTGGTTGTGTAATACTACACTGAACTAGTTGGTTTTAGAGATTGTCCTATCTCTGTGTGATGAATTATTATTACAATTTCTGTGATAGGGTGAATGTTTATTGATGCAGCAGTGTCGGATCAGGCTATATCCACTTGAAAACGTATTTTTATTTTTATTTCCAAGTGAAAACCATTGTCATTACTGCTTGACGATAGGCTCTTGAAGCGGGATCAATCTCGGGACCCCTGATTCTGATTAAAATCCAGATCCATAACCAGAACTAGTCGTTTTAGCCACTTACATATGAGCAGGCCATACGATTTAATTTATGTTTCAAAAATTGGTTTGGCGCGTAATATAGTTATTGTATAATAATACAAATCAGCTGATTTGGACCAGTAATTATATTTCAATAGTTAATCATAACCTTATTACATAAATGATACGACCAAACCAAAATTTTACCAGTGCCTCCAACAATTTTTGTTAAATCGACAATTTTAATTAAACTCAAACCCATCGAACATGTCCACTAGCAATTTCCATTCTGGTGCCTGCACTTCGCTTTTGATATATTATCGAACTGTTGAAATGATGATATTTGGACCTATTGTCCGCAGCCAGCGGCTTCCTTGACAATTATTGTGGGACAATTATTTGGTAATCTCTGTTTCGTCCAGTAGAGCACATTGTTTGTGTACGCGCATTGCACATTCACACGATACTATGGAAGGCCTAGAGCGGGTACAATTTCCCTCGAAATTCAATATAGACAACGTGCTATTGCACTAACCAAGTTATTTGATAGCGCTGCACAATTTCGTGATTTGGCGTATGGCGCTATTGTAAATCATTCTCATTAATGGATAGATAGGCGAATTGGAAACTGTTAATAGCAATTTACAGTTTGACTTATTGCATTTTTATGAGAATTACTGCGATCATTTTCTATAAGAATTTGATTTTTTTTATTTATTATCTCTTTTATTTACAACTGTCCAGTAAAGGACATTCAATGAATGAATTTACAAGAGTCGGCCGAAAAGGGACATTGTATACTACAAAGGCATGTTGAAAAAAACAACTCAGTAGTTGTTTTTCCATTCAATATAAAATTCACAATATTTTATTGATAATTATATAATTTTAACTATTGACTTATTCAAAAATATACAAATTTGATAACTTTATTTGTTAGACAGGAGGCACTCATATATTATCAAAGTTGAGGACCATCCCAACGAATTATAAAGACCAGTTCTCAATATATCAGCTATAAGGAGAATAAAAAATGTTGATTCATAGACCTGAATTAGCGTCAATTAAAAAATCACCCACAGAATGTTTTTTATGTATGTAAAATATAATATTAATCTATTTTCATGATTGCTTATAAAATATTATTTTGATAGCTATTTCTAATATTCATAATCAAAACAATATTAAAATTGAAATGTGCGTAGTAATACCGTATGGATACCAATCCATATTTTTATATGTTCCAAATGTTCATACATATATACATATTTATTTATTTTTATATATTTATACATAATGCAAGCCACCATATGTATACGGCACTCGTAACGAAAGGGTATTTTTTTACTTTTATAATATTGTTCTATATCAAGCATAGGTCTTAAAAATTGATTAAAATTCTGATATCTCAAATATTTTATTTTTTTATTACATGGTCTTTGTCGCTCTATTCTTTCGAATAAAAAAATTTATGCAATTTTGTGATTTATATTTGTATTATCTGCTACAAAATTTTAGTTTTTATTATTAATTTTTTTATATACTCGTTCATATATACTAAATGCTCTATGACGTTGTTTTATACTCTTAACTACGATTTTTACAAATGGAACAAATACATATTTTTATAATGACATCATTATTATTTGGAAAATTGTTGAAAAATGATTTGTGTGATGTATTAGTTTAATCATATATTTTTATCCAATATAAAACTAATTACAAAATGAAACGTAGCTTTGAAGGATTAAAAGTATTTAACACCAGATGATTTCTACTATGGATCTTCTGATTGCAGAGGATTTATAAAAAAAATTCAGGGCCAGCTTATTGACTAATAGAAAAAGATTATTTTTCTGATAATTATTTAAAAACTAATCATAGTATTACCAAATTAATCATATCATTATTGAAGTTATCAATTCTCTCACAAGATCTACTATTTGTATACATAATTTTCTACATTCTAATTTCAAAAGTAATTCTTTATAATATTTTATAATATAGAAGATCTTTATAATATCAAGTTCTATCTTTAATTTATTCATTTTTAATCAATCCGTTGCCAGTGTTTCTTTTATAATTTATAAAATTTATAAAAATATATAATTAAATTGTTAGTTATATAGGATAATTTTAGATTCCTTCATATCGATCAAATTCGATTGTAGCTTTCAATGATCAATTGACAATATTTCTATTTATTGGTGTTAAATTCACTATTTTGCAAGTGAGATTTATTTTTTCTAACGTATATATTCCTTTTCTATGAATGTTTTTTTTAACGTATGTAACTATCACTCTTCTATCACTTTTCGTTCACTTTTATCTATATTTTTAATATGCCATTAAATCAATTTCCAATATATTTTATCCATTATCATAAAAAAACACTTCGATATTTTGAATTCATTAACGTCGCATTGCTGTTTTATATTTTACCCAAAAACAATAATTTTAAAATGATCTATTATCCTAGTTATTAGCATAGGAATATAATTAAAAGCCAATTACGAAAAACCATTTTAACGACTCTTTTTATCATTACTCAAAATAAATCGAAGTGTAATTATGGTGAAACATTTCACGTTGATACGTGATATGTAAATATTTTATCATGCGGATGATTATTGGCGTTATGAGTATAAACCTGCATGAATATTTAATAAATCCATTGAATAATTTATCAGAGTTTATGCTGAACCTTATATTTTAGATCACAAAAATACGTTCTTTAAATAATATGGTCGTGTTTATATAGAGATTATGCAAAGGGCAACAAATATTTGGCGTATATATATTATTATTGTGAATACTTCTCTACAATTAATGAATCTACTATTTATTTAGAAATACTAAATCGATAAATGATTGTAAAATCCAGATTGTTTTATTTATTTTTAATTTTTTCCAGATCATGTGCGAGAATTCGAATGCGGACTTATGTACTACAGAACATTCCACTTGGACAGCAAGAGGGATGTACTCTATGTCGGAGCAATGTAAGTTTTATTAGAGTTTATATATATATATATATATATATATATATATATATATACTATTTTGTAATAATTCCAGGTTTTTTATATGTTATCTTATACCTGTTACTTATTCATTGAATGTACGATTGATAACTTAACTGATCTATAATTGTGATATTCATTCAATATATATGTTAAGGTTAACCAAATTATAATTCATTTATTAATGTTTAGCCTAGTTTATCATAACTATCCAAATCAATATTTCCAAACCATGTTTTGCTATCGCTTTATTTCACTAAACACTTTGTTATGTGTGATATATTTCACGATTATGAACACCATTATCATTTTAGTATTACAATTTATATCTTTCATCGCGTGACAATATTGTATGACAATTTCAAGATAATCATCCTAGTACAATGATATATTATTTGTGTTGATGTTTTATGTGATTCGACACCATATTTAGGCGTTTTATTGATTGAATATGCTTTTGGAAACTTGCTTGTTCTCCTCATTTCTGACTTGTAATATACTTTTGTGTTTCCATGTGATTGTCTTTCCAACCGAATGTGTATTTTAGGTATACTCCTGCATTCAGTTAGAATTTTTGAAAGAAATAGTTATGATGTATATTAGGAATTAGAAAAGAATGAATATTTTTAAATGAATTGAATTGGATTAGATAGGGAAATTATCTAAACTTATTAAATCTCCTGAACTCTTAAAATCTCCCTTAATCTGTTACACAATATATTTAATAAAAATATAATGAGTGTAACTTGAACATCTTTTTGAGCAGTTACTAAGTTATTCGTCTATTTCCAACTTTCATCTTTTCTCTTATATCTTGCTTTCAGTTTCATGTATTTTCTCATCTTCCATAAACGTTTCATATGTTTCCTTTTCCTCCATCATTATGTGATTCATAGTCACATTCTGGATAGTACTTTTATTTACATATTCCGTACATATTTGTTTGATGTACAATATATCTTTTAATGATAAATATAACCTCTGCTGTGTGGGGTCGTTTGGCGCGTAAATTGCACTCATGGTAAACGTCGAATATCATATGACTGAAGCAAATGCGGGAGTCCATTCTATGAATGCTCACTAGTATAAATTTCACAAAGATATTCATTTTGCACATATATCATATGTCGAATGAGAAAAAAGACGAATTACGGGTTGCTTCTTCCTTTTATGTGAGTTCAACTATCTTCTAGATTTACATTTAAGTCCTTCTTCTTTTTAGTATTTTTATTGAACAGCGATCACAACTCATGGGTTACATTAGCGAAGAATTATTTAACTATATTACTTTTTAAGCGGGTCTTCCTATGTGACGGCCTGTTTTTTAGGGATATTTTAGGATTTTTTTCTACGACTAGTAAATATTTAGAGCTTCAAGTTTTTTATCATTCATTAACACATATTTGGACAGTATAAAATTTCAGCTAAAAATATTCAGTAAAACTAGAGTTACAGCGCTCTGAACACCCCCGCCTCGAAAAAAAGAGCTCCCACTTCCTACACGATTCCGGCTGATCGGCTTATCTGAAAAAAAAAAAAAAAATAAACGGCGTTTTAATTTGTATTCTTAAAAGCACGGAATGACCTATAATCAAATAAATATAAAAAAAGAATTGGATTTTTGATAGACATTTGAAATAAAAGTTGCAAATTAGGCGTGTTTTTGTTTTTTGCTATAAAAAATCGAAGTTTTGAAAATTTTCGATTGATAAATAATAGTTCATTCCATGCGTTGAAATATATTGAGTGTACCCTGTAAATTTCAAGTAATTCGGTCCAGCCGTTTCTGCTGTATCTTTAAAACGACTTCGAATTTTCTAAAATCGCTTTACTACCGTATTCTAGACAAGTTAAGGGAGCAATTTATGAAAAAAAAAATCGATTTTTTTAACCCATCACATAGGAAGACTCTCTTAATACATAGCAACCCAAACAGTTGTCCCATACATATGATTAATTTTATTTTATTTATACCATTTTTACAATTGGTAATGGTGATGATTTTTTATCACTTCTGCTTGACATAAGGATCGAGCTCTCTGGACTTCTAATTCAAATCCCATCGCCATAACCATTTACCTACGGAAAATTCAACCTCTTCTTCGATGATGTTTTATATTTTATATTACCTAATACAATTTAATCATATATGTCATATATATTTATATGCTGAATTTACAACATTAGATGGTTCAATTCTAAAGTAGCAGTAGCAAGGTGCACGTGAATTCGATGCTACCAATTAGGTTAAAATTTCCTTTCAATATTAAATTTTGCTTCCTTATTGTTTACTTAATGAATATTTAATCCCAAATACTACTTCATTAACATGTAGATATATGGATTATATTCAACACTTTCTCTCCTACTACAGCCTATAATGAATTCATTATCCATTATGTATTCGATAAACAGTTCCATAAAAAATTGCTTTCAAAGGATCCACTTTGCCCCAATGCCATTAATAATAAATCCGGCTGTTCTTCTCTGAAAAAATTAAAACCAAGTCAATGCTGTTTATTGCGGGGATCTGAAAGGCTTATGCTTATGAGCACCTGTAACTTCGAACATCGTTTCCTACATTTATTAATTATGCTCTGTAAGCCCATGAGGTTAGAAGAAAGTTACGTTGTTAGAACACGATACTTTAAGTGCTTTCGGTCTGCCACTTCGGCTCTTAATAAAAAATATTGATGCGCAAAACTTTGCAGCGCTGTCTCGCCTGCTTAAATTGTATTTGCTGTACTTTGTAAATGAAGCCACTATAAAATAATATATATATATATATATATATATATATATATGTATGTATTTACGCAGATTTAAAAGAAATATATAATCTGGTAAAACATTTGTATACGGAAAGTAATAAAAAGGACACGCTACATTCAGTTTGAATGCTATTTGAAAACTGGTCAAGTTGCTGGTCATTTCATTTGTTAATGGCTTTATTCCATATCAATATTAGACAATCCTCACTAAATCTCCTTGTAAATATATTAGTTTCAAAATGTAAGATCGTTGGTTGAAAGAAATCGATGCTGTGTTGAAGATTATTTGTACTTTATATATCAAAGTGGAACAAAAAAATATAAATCCTATATATATATATATATATATATATATATATATATATATATATATATATAAGTACAAAAAAAGGTCTCTCGAGGAAAGACCTATTAATTTTCCCACTTTTGTCCCATTCCTGTTACTTTTTTTTCCCTCTTGTGAAATATGAAAGCCCCCAACCGCACGCGGTAAGAAACAACCAGTATTCTACCCGCATTTTCTAATACTCGATAATTCTTTGAAAGGAGGCACTGTAACATCAAAACAATTTGCATCTAATTCGCCCGACAATAATCTGTTAAAAACCCTTTCAAGACCCTTCGTTCAGAGCTGTCGATTCTTGTATTATAAATTTTAAATTGGGTCGATCGATCCCCAAAAGACTTGCGTTTCACACTTTACCTCGAGTGCCTAAGGGAGAAATGTGCATCGTTCATCCTTTGCGAATTCGCGGTCACCATTAATAACATTCAATGTCGTGCGATATAAGATCGCGTTTGATTTATGTACCAACGGTAAATGCGAAAATGTCGCTTATATTTTTGTGAAAACCGAGAACGGGATTTCGAGATGTTTAGAAGTCTTTTGAAATGTAGTATGACTTCATTTTGCTGGTTGTGTAGATATAGAATCACATTTTTCTTAAACGATCATTGTGAATGATCTATGTGCGATATATGCAATGTGTAACGGAAAGTGTATCAAAAGGATTAATGTACAAGTAGAATTTATGTATACACTAATAGTGGACAGGCGGCTTGTGGAACTTATCTGCTAAGAAGAATATGACTTGTATTGAATGAAAGTTTGAATTTTGTTTATTGAGCACGACTGAGTATTACGTAATTTGAGCATATAGATTTTAAAATACATTACTTCGACGAGCATTGGAATTCACTCGATTTTTACCGTCGTCAAACCCACTCTAATTTTAAAGATAAATTTTGCATAGTTCGTTGAACACGACAGAAATCCCGGTGGTATTTGTCTCCCATTCGTACATTAAACTCTTGTCTTTTTGTTTAACGCTCAGCCGGAGTCTAAAGAAAGGAACTTAGGAGAGGGTGGCCCGGGCGGACCTCGTACCTGCCAAAAGGCCTCTACGGCGACGCCGTTTGTTCGAATTCTCTTTCGAGCGAGCTAAAAGGTTTTTACGAGCCCGAAAGTTCGCGAAATACTATTAGCGATGGGTCGTACCTGCCCTCGCGCCGTCGTTGAGCGAAGTATTTCGAAAGTTTTTGAAGGTAATTATCTTCGACGCGTGTTATGTTTCGCATAATTCGAGGAACATATTGCTGTAATACGATGATTTTTATACTAATACTAATACAAAATTTTACTTGAGTATAAAATATTGAAACAAGTTCAGATGGAACTTTATTTAACTAGCTTACTTATTTGGAATTACATGAATTAGCTTGTTAACGCCTAAGTCTCATCTAAGTACAATGAAATTATATAAATATATTTTAATACTTTTCATTAATTAGATTATTTGCACGTTTATAACACTAAAGATGTATAAAATAATCCATTATATTGTAATGCGTCTTGTCCACAAACAATACCTCAATAATCCGTTTTTTCGAGAAATTATATTCCTTGAACTAGACCCAACTAGATTGGACAAGAATGTAATGGGAAGTCGCTTGCACCAAATTATTAAAACTTTATAAATCAGTGATGCCTTAACATTCAAACAATTAAGGGGCACAACTAGTATGAAATTTTCAAAAAATCGAATTTTCAATTTTTACATATTTCGATAGTTTATACCTTTAAACATAGCATACCAAAATTGATATCGATATCTTAAATAGTTTTTGAGTCACGGCCATTTAAAGAGTATATATATGGTATATAGTATAAGGATCATTTAATCTTTAAACGCGTTTTTCTCGAAACAG